GTGTGTTTTTTGGATGAAAACAATGAAAAAATGACTTGATTTGAGACTGTATGAAGTGTTTGTGAATGTAAAAGTGAAATTAGTGAATGTGAAATTAAAGGAACAGTTCACCCAAAAAAAAGGGAAAAAACTGCCACCATTTATTCATCCTCAGGCCGTGCCAATCCTGAATGAGTTTCTTTCTTCTGTTGAACACTAAAGAAGATCTTTTGAAGAATGTTGGCAACCCATTGACTTCCATAGTATGTAAAGAAAAATATACCAGAAACTGGTTACCCACATTCTTCAAATGATCTTGTTTTGAGTTCAACAGTAATCAGCTCAGAAGAAATCAACTTCAGAAAGGTTTGGAACAACTTGAGGATGAATAAATGATGCCAAAATGCTCATCCCTTTAAATGCTGTGCCAGTCTGTAAGCTGCTCGTGAGAACTGTGTCCCAGTGATTGTCAGACGACGGTAGTGTGGTCTGCAGGTAAACGCTCACCTGTGCGCTGTCCCAGGTGACTCTGTGGTTCTCGGGAAGCACTCGGCACTGAATCAGCCATCCGGCGCACTGTCTCCACAACTCCATCTCCAGCCAACTCACCTCAGATCAGCAGCGACAGCAGTGACCTAAAACCCTCCTAATGCGTCCATGATCTACAAACCCAGCACTAACTGTCCAACAGAAACTACCCGAGTTACCAGCACAGACTCAATCTAAACTGAATCCAGAAGCGATAAACTGGTCACTAAGTGTTCAGCGACTGAGTGTGAGTTCATCAATGAAGCGCCTCTCTCTCCTTTGACCTTTGCCGTCTTCCTGCTTCTTCAGGATGTCCAGCGAGCGTCTCTTGTGTCGTCTGCGTCTCTCGCTCTTTCCTCCGCGCCGCTGCTGCTGCTCTGCAACCCTGCAGAGGGGAGGAAGCCTTTCAACTGCACACAACTTCCTCTTTCCTCTGTCACACACACGCACACACACACACTCACTCACACACTCACACACACACACATCTGACACTTGACTTGCAAAATTGGGGTTTATATTCCTGCATGTGCTGCTGCTAGAGAGTGTGTGTGTGTGTGTGTGTGGTTTCTCTGTCTAAGTGTGAATGTGCGTGCAGGACTGTGTGTGTGTGTGTGTGTGTGTGTGTGTGTGTGTGTGTTGTGTAATATGTGTGTGAATGTTTGTTACTAACCGCAGCATGTGCAGTCAAAGAGCAGCAGCAGCAGTGCAGTGTTGCGTGGAAATGCACACACACACACACACACACACACACACACACACACACAAACACACACACACACACACACACACACACACACACACACACACACACTCACACAGAGGCCAGTTATCTTACATTAGCAGTATAAGAGCAGGCATTTCATTCATCCGTCGTTCACAGAGGATTCAGTGAGAGTGATTTCAACAACACACACACACAGACACACACACACACACACACACACACACACTCCTCAAGAGGAGACACAACACAAGATCTGTGAGCGTGACTGCATAAACTCAAGCAAACTAACAACAGCATGATGGGAAACAACATCACACCTGACCCTCAAGTGACATTTTGTTTGAAATTGTTAAATGTGATTCTGTTACAGTTTTTTTCCATTGCTAAATGACAGTGGGCACAACTGGAGCTACATGTGCAAAACTCTAACTACAGTCTGCACAGAGTTTTGCACATGTAGCTCCAGTTGTGCCCACTGTCATTTAGCAATCGAAAAAAACTGTAACTTGTTTCACCACACATTCATTGCTTAGCATTTTTGTCTTGCGTTTCGGTGCAAATTTATCTAAACATTATTAAATCAAGAGAAGCAAAATAGCTTCAAATATTTAGTTTTTTTTTCTGAAATATGCTTAAAACAATAAAAAAATATATTGGTAAGAGGGGTGAGAAACATTGTTTGAATTAAAAACTCACTTTTGATTTAGAAAACAATAGGCTATACTTAATATCATGAATCAGCAGCAGTTCTCTAACTTTATCTTCAGTTCTTCTGTTTGTGTGTTTTTACGAGTCTGTCATGCTGAAGTTCATTCATGTCTGGTATTTTGAAGAGTTCTTGTCAGTTTTTGTTGATTCCTCCTATTATCTTTCTGCATAAATAAATCTAGCGTTTCATTGTATCTAAAATGGTCCAAAAGACGTATGTGTGCAAATCTTATTGTGACACAAGTTCTTCTAGTACAGTAACTTCTCATATATGTGTTATGTACACACACATACACACAGTGTGTTTCAAGAAAACAATAAACAACACGTTAGGCCTCACTGTAGCAGTTCTGGGCGCTACATGTGGTTTGTGGTCGCAAATAGTCACTAACTCGTCGCCACCTCCTGGTGTAATGATGAAACTACAACTTTGAGCGATGAATGATTTTTTAATTAATTAACGTGTTTATTAACTTTTTAATTATTGATTTATTTTTTGCATTATAAAGATTTTAATCAGAACTAAGATAGCCCCACTAACTGATAGCCTCCTCACATTTACATATATGACATATTCTTCGCTTCAAAGTGACTCCAGTCATTCATCATTTATATGTAGGCTAACTGGGGATCAAACCCACGACCTCGGAATGACTAGAATCACGTCGGACCAGTTACAGGGTCGTTACCTGCTGATTTCTCACACAACCGCGGGCCTGAGACTGAAATGATGTTGTTCTGAGAAACTCTGAATGTGTCTCAACCTGCAGACCGAAGCCCTCGCGTCACACCGAGATTCCTGCGCTGTGATTGGCTGAGAGAGAGGACAGCGGCTGCGGCAGCCAATCAGAACGCAGCGCCTCAGGTGCCTCCATCAGCGGCCCCTGGAACTCAAACGCGGGGAGATCAACAATATTAGATAAAAACAGCTGATGAATAAAACATAAAGAAAGACAGACGAAAGAATACGAGCAGTACAGGTAGGAATCTAAAAGAGAATTTGACTGCACTAGTAGATGAAAACTTGAACTGAAAGTTTAATTTTGTGTCATCGTGACTTTAAACTTAAATTAAATACCTACCTTTTATTCTTTAGTTTAACAGAAATGCATCTGTAAAAAGAACTGATCTGTAAGAAACTGTAATCAAACTATTTAATCTCCAGAAATATAACAATATTTCGGCTATATTCACAACCACATAGAAACTCCCTTACAGCAATGATGATAGATTAGGAGAGACTTCTTTTCTAAATCGTCTCAATTCAGTTTTGAAGTGCAATAGCATTACTGTTGTGTATGCATACTAACACATACATTTTCTACAACATTGCGTTAAATTAAAATCAAGTGCATAGAGTTAGCATTAACGAGATTGGATATGTCAATATTTCGGTCGCGCGGCTATAATTGCAATTTATGTATTTATTGTTTGTATTAGGCCTATTCTTTCTAGTTATTTTTCTGCATCAGATGCATTTTGAAGTCTATGAGCTCTGTGTTTCTGTGCATTAGAGCTGATGCAGCAGACTGTGTGTGGATGCGAGTCATGAACAGTAGCTCGATCGCGCGCTGGCTGACACAGATCGGTCTGCCGCAGTACAGTCGCGCGCTGGAGAAACACACCTACGGCCTCGAGGTACTCACGCGTTTGACTTCTTCACTTTGCCGGTCCCACTTTATATTGTGTCCCTAATACCTGTGCACTTACATAGTAACTACATGTGTACGTAGTATGTAACCACAGTGTAAGTACACATTGGTACATAGTATCTAGAACTACACATATGTAACAACCCTCAGGATGGTTTGTGTAAGTACACATGTGTAACAGGACATTGGTAACAACACTGGGTAGGTTTAGGGATATGTAAAGTGGGAGGAGTTGGATCTCGAGTTGGAGTTGGTGCACCACTGTAATACCAGTGTACTTACATGGTAACTCCTCAGGAACTGTCCACTTACTGTAAAGTGTAACATTCTGGACACCAACCACAATTTATATGTAAAGCCTAACTCACTGGCCGCTGCAGTGTAACATCAGAGTAATCACATGATACATCTAATATAAAGTGTAACACTTTCTCTACCAAAAAGTGCTGTTAGTCCTGTTACACATTTGTACTTACACATACCATTCAGTGGGTATTTACATATGTGTAGTTACACAAACATTACAGCTGTAGATACTATGTAACAATGTGTACTTACACTGTGGTTACATATGTACACATCTAGTTACTATGTAAGTACACACTTAATATAAAGTGGGACCGATGAGTTTGTTTCTTCGTCAGGTTTGGAGAAATGTAGCATTGCATCAGTGTCTCAGCAATGGATGCTCTGCAGTGAATGGGTGCCGTCAGAATGAGAGTCCAAACAGCTGATAAAAACATCACAATAATCCACAAGTAATCCACACCACTCCAGTCCATCAGTTAACATCTGGAGAAGACAAAAGCTGAAACTAATCCAGCATTAAGACGCTTTTAACTAAAATAC